GGGTTTAAATGCCGTAAGCGTCACAAGACTTACAATGAATATTTTTACAGAGAAGACAGCTAATTTTAAAAGTAGTTGAACAAGAAAGTTGGTGCTTATGGCATTTAGTAACTTCACATAATTGTTTTTGAAGATCTTAGATACCACATTCTCATAATCTCAAATTTTTCATCTCTAAAATCACTAACCTATCATGAAAAATAAAAATAACAAATGCCCCTACATGAAGTATATTTCAGAGTTTTTCAATCCAGTTTTATAGTTTTAGTCAGTAAACACTTTAAAAATATTATTTTACTAATGCTTAATGTTGTATCTTGAGACAACAAAAATGAGGGAACTACTATTTGGTGAAGTCAAGTGATCTTTCGTTACCTGTTATCTAAAATTAATTAAGGATATAAGATTTCAGATCTATTTTAAATTAATTTACAGTTTTTAAAAAAAATTTACAGAATGCTATTACACAACTCATGGATAGGAAAAGAAAATGACCTTTAGAAATTAATGCCAATATTGTTTTCTAAAATGATAGACAAGTAATGAAGACGTAGTTCCCAAAACTAGAGATTACAATGAGATCATTTTATTTTATGCTATCTAAAATAATATAAAATTCAGAATTTAGTTTCTCCTTGTTTAATATGTTTCAAGATTAAACTTCTGTTAGTTTTCCTGTTTCATTAGACTCATGTTAGAATTTTCTACTATATCGAATCCATGAGCAGATCCTTGCTTTAATTACTCTCAAGGCCATATTTTAAAAAAATTCAAAAGACACTGTGAACTATTTTGAAAACAATACAATGTTTCAATATAGATTTAAAAGGATCTCTTCTAAAGTTAGAAACAATCTACAGTTACACATCAACTACCTTAATGCTGTTACTTTTAGATTATTTAAACAGTAAGCTTTTAAATTTTCCTGTGTAAACTTAATTATAGTGGAAATTTTTACCAACTCTATACTCAAGTAAAATTTCTATATATTCCCTGTGGAAATATAACTATGTGAGTTTCAGACATTCCCAAGTGTTCAAAGATTTCTGCTTTTGCTTCTTTTGGACATCTTGGAAAACTTACTAACAACTGTGAATATGAAACACAAAAGAAAACAATAACAAAGCCCTCTGTACCTATATGCCCAGCACAGTTCATTGTTTTGTTTTGTTTTTTTTAAAACCAAACCTCAAACTACTGTATATCAGTATCTGTACTGAAAGCAATGCATTGTGACTATTAAATGTTGCACATCATTCACTCACTGTACAGTAACTATTGACTAAAGGGATTTGTCTATGTTTTCTTCTTGTGGTTGTATATATCAGGAATTTTTTTTTTCCCCAAAGAGCCATGTGTCATAAAATATTAAACCACTTTGATACTGAGATATTAATTTGTACCCTTGTTACTATTTACTAGTAATAATATAGTACTATAGTAATATTGTTGTAATTCTCATTAAAATTGTTGCATCCCTTTTATAGAATGTTTATATTTGCATAAGGACTAAGTGTTCTATTCTTTCTTCTTATACCCAAGGATGAAGCTATGTTTTTGTGCTTTCTCTTTATCATTAGCCCTTCATTCCAAGCACTTTATGTTGTCTGTAATGGGATCTATTTTTGCACTGGAATATCTGAGAATTGCAAAACTAGACAAAAGTTTCACAATAGATTTCTAAGTTAAATCATTTTCATTAAAAGGGAAAAAAAGAAAAAACATTGCATTTGTCTGTAACTTTATATGAAGTATTAAAGGCATATTTCTATGTTGTAATGAGTCACAAAATAAAGCTGTGACGGTTCCGTTGGTCTATACACTTTTTGTGTGTGTGTGTGTGTGTGTGTGTGTGCATTTATAGCACCACCTACTGTTAAAGTAGTTTGGCTCAAAAGAAGACATTTTAGAATAGGCTAGACGTCCTTTTAGTCACAAAAGAGAACTGAAGGGACTACTTGGAAATTTTAAAAAGGTGTTTTGCACTTTCATGATTCAGTTAAAGTAACTGAGATTAAGTTTAAATGGTTTTTAGTTAAACTTATTCTGCTTAATGATTATGAAGCTGTGGAGATTTCTGAAAATCCTCTGTAGTTAAGCCTATTTAATAAAAACCTCATTTTTTCATTTGGTAGTAAGGAAGTTACAAACACAGCCTTCTGTGCTCTTTTGTTTTTTCAACCAAAAATACAAGGACGCAGGGTGGCAAGCGTATGGGGAGGTGCTGGGCATGGTGGAAAGGTGAGCGCGCAGGGGAAGAAGAGTGTGGGCAGAGAAGTGCTACGGAGACAAACATCAGAGGTGCCTTCCCTTTCTCCTGTAAAATGTGCTGTGCAGTCTACATCTGAGATTATGCAGCGCTATAATGAGACATGAATGTATTTTTCACAGCTAATGAGCAATTCAAATCTCAGAAATGGCATCTGTTTATTTTGGTACTACAAGAATGCCCGTCAAACACCCCCGGTTAAGCAGCACAGTGGAGTCCTGACTATTTGTGACCTTTTCTGCACAGCCATGGCATCACGGAATGAGCAGTCCTTTGCGTAAGGTACAGATCTGAACTTTAAGTGCGCCTGGCTGACCACTCAGCATCAGCATCACCATTTTGTCTTCCCCGCCTTGACGTTCACATTACAGCGTCGTCAGGGAAACTGAAAACTATATTTCTTTGTGAAAAATGACAACTGAGGGAGAGGAACTAAACTATTGAAAAATGAAGAGTTAATTTGTTACCCATTGAGTCTTGACCAAAACTTTCTCTTATTTAGAGAAAAGCCAGTATAAACATTTACAGAGTCAAAAAAAAAAAAAAAAAAAAAGGATCTGGAAACTTTAGAATATTAATGACTACATTAAATATGAAAAAGTATACCAAAAAATTAGCTACCTTTTCCAAGTGTTGATTGCGTTGTTAGGCACCTCATTTAACCCTCAGTTGATATCTGCCCTATGAGGTAAGCAGCACCATTTGACATACAGTAAATTGCAGCTCAAATGATAAGGAACTTGTCCAAAGTTACACAGCTAGTAACTGGCAGAGGGTGCATCTTTTTCTTTTTTAAATTATTTTTTAGAGGCAGGGAGAGAAACATTGGTATTAGAGAGAAACAACATGCAACCTAGGCTTGTGCCCTCACTGGGAATCAAACCAGGAACATTTAGCTTTGTGGGTCGACACCCAAATAACTGAGCCACCACTGGTCAAAGTCAGAGGGATCTTTCTGGTGAAGATGGTATCATACTCTGGTCAGTAAGGTATTATTATACGATACTTCAACAAATATTTATTGACCTCTGTTGTGCGCCAGATACTTTGCTAGGTTCTGGGTACACCGTGTTGAAGACGACAGAATTCCTGCTCCAATGAACTTAAATTTCAGTGGAGAAATTATATTCACATGCACAATGGATATGAGGACAAACAAATACAGGGAATTCAGGCAGCAGTAAATACAAAGAATATGAAACATGGTAATGGGATAACGATGCAGAGGAATCTGAGTTGGCCCATCTGAGGAGTGACGTTTAAGCTCAATCTGAGTAAAATGAGCAGAAGGAGCCAGCATTTGCAGGTGGGCAAGAAGAACATTCCTCGAAGAAAGAACACCTGGTGCAAAAACTCCAAGGGAGAAAAAGCTTGTTAAGTTGGGGAGCAGGGGAGAGAACCACAATGTCTCTGGAGTGGATGGGGACGGACTCGGAGATGCAGAACCATGTTAAGGTACCTGGATTGTATTGTTAGTGCAGTGAGGAGCCACTGGAGAATTTTCAACAAGGTAGTGGTTTGGCCCAATCTCTCTCTTCAGAAAGAACGCTGGCTATCGGGGGAGAAAGTAGGGAGGCGAAGAGATGATGGTGGAGGGTGGTAGCCACAGACATAGGGAGAACAGGAACATTCAGGGTCTCACAGGCCGCGTGGAGAGGAGCAGGGAAAGGGAGCTGGCAAGGTGACTTAGTTTGTGACCCAGAAACTAGGTAGGTGGTTGTGTTAAAAAGGCAGTTGGTGTTGGTAGATCAGACTGGAGCTCAGAGGATGTGATAGGAAAGAAGATAAAAATGTGTGAATTGTCAGCACATATGTGGTATTTAAGCCTTGGGAATGAATGAGCTTATATGGCGTTCGAGACCCTACCATGTTTAGAAGAGAAGCCAGCAAAGGAGATAGAGGGACTCGCCAGGGAGGAGGAGGAAAATCTAAGAGTATGACACCAGAGATTGATGGGCAGGATCAAGTGCTTCAGGAAGGCAGAAGTGGTCAATTGTGTCCAACACTGCTGAGAAGAAGAGTCAGCTAAAGGCAGCGAGAGGCCACTGGATTTGGTCAGACAAAGGACCTTAGTGACCCTCAGAAGAGTCATTTCAGAGACTGACAAGGATGCAGGCCTGACTGGGCTCAGGAAAGAATAAGAGGTAAGGAGGGGAAGAGGGGGAATATACACAACTCTGCAGAGAGTCTTGCATTGAAGGGAAGCAGAAAACAGAACAATAGCTGGATTATAAAACTTTAATTTGGATTCTTGTCTGTTACAATAGTATAGGCTGCACCTGAGCAATATCTCACCTTTCTGATTTTTTTTGTTTGTTTTTTAATCCTTTAGCCATTTCTTCTATCAGAAACCTTACACACTGAGCAGTGTTCAAATTTCCCTTAGACAGTCAATAAATAACTTACTATTTTATTTATTTCTAAAATGTCTTAGAAACGTAAAATACTACTACTATAAATGTAGATGATTAAGAGTGCTTGGAAATACCAACCTAATTTTAGAAAGCAGAGAGGCACTCAGAAAATGGAAATCAAAGTGTTTCCAGGAAAACCCTAGCAGTCTGTGATGGTACTAGAGACCCTCTCCTGGTATAACTGTCACGCTGGTTTCTCAATATAACTTAACATTCGCAATTATGCTGGTAAATTATTACTGTGTCATTATCCTATAGCGACATAGTGAAAGCTCTAAGGAAGATAATACAATTATAAAATGCAAATTGAAAAACCCAGAATGACGACATAGGCTTTTATTAGGGCAAGCATTTCCATAATCATAAAATCTCTTCAAAAACGAATAAATGTTTCAGGTGTCTATGTTAGTGATCCAAAATGAACAAAAATTAATAAAATTAACTATAAATGAATACATTTCAGCATATGAAACAAGTCTTCTGAAGATTTCAACCTTGAGACCTAACTGACTAATAATGTGAAAGGTACAGATGACACAGGTGTTACTGTACTTTCCTAAAGTAAAGAAATATATTTGATCTAATATTCTTATATTACAAAATAAACTTTACTGGGCAAAAAATTACTTTCAATCTCAAAAATAGCACAAGACATGTTGAAAATACAGACATTGCATGTACATAAAAAATCATAAAAAATAATTTTAAAATACTGTCAAGCACAAGAATGTAAAACCATTTAAATACAAGAAAATGCTATTGAGCCAAAGGGTCGTCAAAATAGAGAATAAGAGGTATTCTGAAAGAAATGAAAACCCGAGATCATGACTAGTGGCAACTATTCCTAATGTATAATAGCTACTGAAATGCCATGGGGAAAATGAACAGAACTATTTTCTGAGGTGGTAATGACAAAGAACAGAGATGGCTTTAAAAATGCAGAGACGCAGCGAATTAACTTACCACCTTCTTCAAATAAAAGTGAGATGCGCTTGGGAGAACTGAAGCACCATTAGCAGACATATCTTAAGACAGTTAATGAAATGCTTTGTACTTTGGTGGAAAACTATTTCAACGGTGAAAATGATGTAGGAATCAGAAGCATATTCTGCTGCGACACTAGGTAATTGACGCTTTCCCGAACTGGAAAACAAACATTACATGAGAAGACATACCAAGTTATTGACTAAACCCAATTTGTCCTAAGAGTAACTCGTGCCTAGTGACATAGCTTACCAGCTGCCACGACTCTGGGATCCTCGTGAGACTGGTGTCTCCCAGCTGCACGACTGTCTGCATTCTCACTCCACCAAAGAACGTGAACTGCAGAAGGAATGCAAACGCAGGTTCTAAAGGCTACAGCATTACTAAAAATAAATACAGGAAAATTTACCAGATACGTTAAGCCTTATTCTTTAAGTCAAAATATTATCAAAAAAGGAAAACCGAGTATGGTAGTGGTAAGATTAGAGATGGGAGAATATTTATAAATTGATTAATGAACTGGTTTTACAGATGAAACAGAAAGCTGGACAGGAGAAGTAAAGTAATACAACAAAAGACATCGACAGTCAAGGCTAGGCCCTGGTGTCGTTACTTCCTACTCCATTTTACTTTTTTTAAAAAAGCAAGATCATAAAAAATAATTGTTTATTGAAAATCTGGATGACACAAAGAATAAAAAGCATGATTGTAACTGCCCAGGGAAAACCTCTATTAATATTTAGTGTATTTTAAAAAATATGAGCAAAATAAAATTAGGGTCTTATTGATAGATGATGTATATGATGGACATATATGTCTGTTCGTATATTACAGGTATATTGTGTATATACTCTGATTCCTTTGCCTTTACTTCCCTAGTGCAGCACAGCAACGGTGAATTCCCTGAAACCCTGGGGTGCACAAATGAAACAAAAGTGGTTGCCTAAACATAAATTATTAAATCTCAGAGCTGAATGATGCCTACAAGTTAACTATCATCCCTGCAACCTCTACTACCCTCAAGCTCCTCTACGTCTCAGCTGTTTCTACTGAAATCCTGATACTCAGCTGTAGCTTCAACAATAAATTAAAGTGACATTCCCTCCTTTTATGATTTTAACCCATTTGGACTTTACATTTTTCACAAATCATCTTTACAGTAATCTACTTAATAATGTTTTTCTGAGAATTAAAATCTAGTTCACAATTTTATGATGGAAAATACTAGAGGCCATTTATGATAATAAACGGATTTGAGCAAGGGGTTGTTAGAGATATACCTAGCACTGGGAGGAGTAATCAATGAATTTTTGTTGTTGTTCTGCTTTTAAGTTTAACCTGTGTGTATTTATAGTAACGTAGACCCAAGAACTAAGTCACATGTAACATCGACCAGGATGAAAATGTGCACTGAATACTGATGCTGATGACTCATACCATCCTTCCAAACATGAAACACTTTATTCATTCTGCCTCCAAACTCTACACTTCAGTAGCCAGCCAATTCAGAGTGAGCTGTCTGAAGGTATACGTTTTCCCCTTGATGATTTCTTCATTTGCATTTTGGCCTAGAAATATAGTTCTTATCCCTATTGTTAAATAAATTAATCTATATTTTATTCTATTCCTTTTTTCAACCCCAAATGATTGACAAGGATGTAGGCCTACCATAAGTAATATTATTTTAAACATCAAAAAAAGTATATTCAGAAGGAAAAAATATAAAACGAACAGATACTTTCTTGAGGCTTCTTGCAGATTTTAATTTTACCATTTTGATGTATCAGGGAAAATAGAGTTGTTAACATTCTAAATAGTAAAAAGTAAAACGGTTTTCTTCAACTCTTAAAATTACCAAAACCCCCCTGAAAATGGGCAATATAAATTAAAATATATGCCATAATGAAAAAAGAGAGAGAAATTAACCCAAGGAACGTAGAAGCTCACCAATATATTTTGCAGTTTCATAGAAAAAATAGACAACTGTACCTCTGTTCAGCGCTCCATATTCTGTGTGGAAAACTCCAACTAGTTTTGAGTAGCCTAGGTTGACATGGGCATGAATTGCCCTTTTAAATGCATCACCCCACAGAGCTGGCCCACCTGGTTTCATCTGAAAAGTAACCAGTTCATAGACTCCTAGAGTAGGGAGAAAAATAATTATTTTACAAAAGATAATCCAGGAATTTCTAATCAGGTTAGTATGGTTCCAGTGGAAGGCTAATATACATACCCAAATTTGAAGGATCATAAATGTATACATGTTTATGTGGACATATTTATGAATTCTTTGCATTATTTTTACTTGCTTTTATGTTTAGAAAGTCCTTGTCCATGTTAAGGGTCAGTTGTTAGGCTTATCATGCAAAACAGAAAGGAGGCTATATCAAGCTATCATCTGAAATATTTTTAATCTACAAAATTTGTCAATAAAACAAATAATGAGAATTTGCAATAGCATTAGGATTTTTGAGCTGAGCCTACACCTTTAGGTAAGAAATGAGTAAGAAAATAATTTTCTGATCTCTGTTTCCTTCTTCTTTCCAATTCTGAGAGAAAATACTTTTTGGTTTGTATAACTTTCCTCTATAGGATTCCATTTCTAACAGGAACAGCAAGCAAACAATGGACCCAAAGTGATATCTGAAATTTTGAGGGAAAAAAAACCCCTAAAATGCTGAAAGAGAGAGAGGTTTATTGTTCCTAAATATCCAAGTAAACACTTGAGAAGAATTTTACCTCTGTTAAGAAGGATGGAGGAGATGAGAGAAAGAAACTAAGGGACAAATAGATTTGAGAAGTAAAAGGAAAAAAGTGTAAAATTACTAAAGAACTATGAACACCAAAGAGGAAGAGAAGCAAGACTTGACACTGTTCTAGAAGCCAGTCAGTTCATTAGACAGTGCTGACAGCTGAGGGGAGGTCTAGGTGGACAAGAATCAAAATAAGGCTAAGATAACACTACAAAAGTCATGTTACGGGAGGAATAATATTTAAATTAGTTTATGCTTTTTAAAAATCTGACCTTTGTTTAAAACTAGGTTGAGGTATTTCCTTAAAGTCAGCAAGAAAGTGAAATCAGCAAGAAGACAGATCTTTAATAATTATTTTCAAACTGAGAAAGAAGAAAACAGAAAAGTTAAGATATAGTAACAGAGCTTAACAATTTAAATTCATCTCATTCCCACAGTCAGTCTTACAAGCAAAGATCTACTTAATGTTTTAAAATTAGCTATAATTATACTAAACTATGACAAAATTTCATACATTATCCTTCACTTACCTATATGTTTTCTCTGCTCTAAATCCCCAAATTCTCAACCTTTACTCCCCAACCCATGCTGACTTTTTATATTCATACCTAAACTTAAGAACTTTTCAAAAACTGGAAAAACACTTCTAATGTTTATTGTCTTAATGAGAAACAAAGAGCTGAAGTTCATTTCATGTCTATAATCACAACATATGCCTCTCTAAGACAAAGGATTATTATATTTTTTCCTATGAAACTTTAGCTTTTATAGTTTAAAATCTAGTAATTTATCAAGATTCAAAGTGACCAAAAGGGAAGGGCTTACCTTCTTTTGGAGGCTTTTCTAATTTGCACCATGGTACCAGATAAGTAATCTCACTCTCCTGTTTATCAATAAGGGCCAAATTTGGAATGAGAAACTGCTCTTGCCATTCCCTATCTTTGGCCAAGGCTTTCCGGACTTCAGTTCGATGAGCATAATTATCTATGGAAAGAAAAGGAGTAAGAAAAATAAAATTTTCTTATTTAAAATCATCTAGACTTACTGGATTTCCTTTAATTCAGCAAATGTTCATCAAGGCCACATAGGAACACTGCATTATTGCACTGGAGATACCATACCCCCTCCCCCCAAAATAGGTGTAACATCTGTCTCCAAGTTTCTCATTGCCTAAAAGGGGTGTACAAATGTAAACAGCTCATGATAATGCCATTGAGTGGACTTTATAGCCTCTACCATTTAGTAGGTAATTGTGTGACTTAGGTCTCAGTTATCGCATGTGTCTGTTTCTTACTCTGAAATGGTGATAATGATATAGTGTCTATACCTCTGGGGCTGTTGGGAGGATGAAATGAGTTAGTACATGAAAGGAGCTGAGAACAATGGCAGCTAGTGAGTACACGGTATATGCTAACTATTCTTATTACTTTAACTGAGACATTCTTACTGCCAGTTTAGGAAGGCTATTTTCCTTTGGTGGTTGCGATAGTAGAAGGTGGTCAGCTGGAGGCAGACCTTGAGTTAAATGTAACATAAATGAAATTAAGAGGCAAGTTTACAGCCTCATCTTTGAACAGCTTTCAAAGCAGTGCTGATTCTCATACTTATTGTCATTCATCCTTTTACTCTGTACTATTTCTCTTCTATGTGTTACCCAAAAAGGTATATGTATTTACTAGCACTTTACATTAGGGCCCCATAAGACTGATGGTAAAAGTTTCCCATCATTTATACTGTAGATGAGGAATACAGGGCTTAAGTCAGTTAAACCAGGACCTTACTAATAATTTTTAAATGGGACAGAATCGTACTTGTTGCACTTTAAAGCATAAATTGTATTTTAATTGGGTTTGTTCTATTACAACAGGGAAAACTCCTAAACTGTGGCCGTGTAAAGTAGAGAATGAGCAGCTTTCATATTACGGTAAATAAAGTACTTTATATGACCAAGCACTAAATGAAATCATTAAAAGTGCTTTGGATATCATCAATTCCTCATGTGGACTTCATGAAGATTTCATGCTAGAATAATATTCTGTGGATTCCTGTAACTGATTCTCCTTCCTCTACTGAACCAGGGATACGTCAGCTTCAATAGGGGGAGAACTCTGATTCCTTTGCCTTTACTTCCCTAGAGCGGCACAGCAACAGTGAATTCCCTGAAACCCTGGGGTGCACAAATGAAACAACAGTGGCTCCCTAAATATAACAAATTATTAAATCTCACATGTGACGCCTAGAAGTTAACTATCATCCCCATCAACCTCTACTACCCTCAAGCTCCTATATGTCTCAACTGTAGCTTCAACAATAAATAGAACGCTCCCCTCCTTTTACAATCTTAACCCACTTGGACTCTTACAATTACTGCTTTAAATTTTTCATAAATCATCTTTATAGTAATCTATTTTATAATGTTTTTCTGAGAATTAAAATCTAGTTCACAATTTTATGATGTGAAATACTAGATACCATTTATAATAACCTAAGGATTTGAGCAAGGGGTTGTCGGAGGTATACCTAGCACTGGGAGGAGTAATCAATGAATTTTTGTTGTTGTTGTTCTGCTTTTTAACAGTTTAACCTGTGTGTATTTATAGTAATATAGACCCAAGAACTAAGTCACACGTAACATCGACCAGGATGAAAATCTGCACTGAACACTTATGCCGACGACTCATACCATACTTCCAAATATGAAACGCTTTATTCATTCTGCCTCCAAATTCAACACTCCAGTAGCCAACCAATTCAGAGTGAGCTGTCCGAAGATGTACATTTTTCTTAAAATTTTCCAGAAACTCATTCATCTTCGAAGGCTTAAGATAATAGGTACGAAATTCATAGAATGTTCCATCGTATTGTCTAGGTCCTGTAGCAAAAGATGAACACACCTGAAAAGAGAGAAGGCAAATTCAAGTATTTGGGGAAGGTAGAGTTTATAGTACAACTCTTGTACTACCCTTGGAAACAAGGGACATGCGTTGGACTCATCATTCATGTTTGTACCTCTGTGGTCATCTCTGTGTGGACCTTTGTTTAGAGATAGGTCAATAAAGATAACTACTCATAAGTACGCTGAATACACAGCTGCTGTTTCAGGGCAGAGGTCCACCATTAGTTCTACCACTGGCCGCCCTTTCACAAGAAGTTAATCATAAGGAGGCAGTGGGGTCTGAATCAGAGTCCTTTACCCAAGAACTACAATTAGGACTCTAATACATTTACAAATGTTTTACCTTATTTAGCCAATAGTCTATCTTAGTAGATGCTATACGTGTTACAGGTATGCATTTAAATGAACTTTATAAAATATGCAGGTGTTCTGATAGGCAGGATAAAAATGTGTTTACTAGCAGAAAACTCTTTATGAGTGTTGTAAAGGAAAAATCCACAGGCCAGAATCATCTGAGTCATGATTAGGTTTAACTACAGATGAATCTGAAGAAGGGCATTTAATATATCTGACTATGCCAGGTTGATGGAAATATCCCTTAAGAACCCTTAGTTCTTTTTGTATCAGTTATGTGTTCATTACTGTGTGTCACATTTTGTTATGTGTTCATTACTGTGTGTCACATTTTGTTCTAATTGAGTCCCTTCAAGTCTGAGTGAAGTTAACTTTAGGTAGGAAATGTCCTGTCAGAAATTATCCTGTGTATTTATATATGTGTATACACACACACACACGGCATTGGTATTTACAAACCCATCTTATTGTAGGTTTGGCTATCGTCTGCCAATTTTCTGAAGCTGATTTTTCAGAATTACCTATTAAAACCTTTGGTATAAAGTTATGGGCAAATTCTATTGACTCCCTTGTATGTCAAATGAAATCAGTAGACTATTTTCTCTGACATATTTTTGGTTTACACACACACACTGACACACACACACACACACGTGTCTAGGTATTTTATTTTATTGTGTAAAATATTATAATTCTAATGATCTGAGTCCGCGTCTATTAAAGTTATGTTCCTATTGCTCAAGTGTCTAAACTTCCTTGGAAAGTAGGTATTCCCACCAAACACAACTGCAACTAATCCTCCTTTTGGATGACAAGCTTTTTGTATCATTTTAACTAAATTCTAGTAAGACAATGTTATACAAATAAACAACTGCCTAGTATTAGTTTAAAAAATAATTATAAATAAAAAAATCAGAAAATGGGACAGTGCGGGTATTTGTAACAACTGCTTTTTAGGTTTAGATTCTCAAGGAATTTGTGCTTGGAAACAAATACGTGGTCAAACGTATGAAACGGAGGGTCCTGATGACTTTGATTAGATATAGTTTTAAATCCTAGCTCTAAAAATAATCGTTCTGTCTGTCTGTAACATTCAGGGACCCAGCCTTTTCACCAGATAATCAGCAGCCCCTGAGACAGAAGGAGACAGTAGCCCAGACCTGACTAATGGCCACAGGGTCGGGGCCTCTGGGTGGCTAAAGATAACATCCGGACCTAAGTTTTGTTTCATTTCCTTATCTCTAAGGGGGTACCGTTCCCTGGCTACTCTCCCATGAGACTGGGCAGAGGGACGCTGGGAAAAAACCTCAGAGCTGTCCTCAAGACCTGAAGAAATAATTCATCAGCTTTACCTCACCTCTGACCAACAAGTTCCCAGCATCTCCCCTGAACCCCTAAACCATATCAGTTTGCGATTTTGCTCTACATGCCATCAGGGAATTCAGCTTTTGAGCATTAGTAGCTTCCCATTCTCCCGGGGGGCGCCATTCATAACAGACAATACTTCTCCGCTGCAATTCTTGGCTCTGCCAGCACCAGGTGGACAAACTCTTTCTATGCCGTAACAGGGACATATTTTTACCTTCTGCAGGAGAAAGAGGAACAGTGGAAACCCAGTGAAAGGTTAAACAGCAGTGAGGCAAGTGTGTGTGCTTGGGGGGGTAGGTGGTTTTGGTTGCCTGCCAGAACAGAACTATGCTGGGGAAGGATTCCTGAGTGGTTCAGGCTCCCTTATTTTCCAAGTTCAGGCTCATACTCAGCAGCAGTAACTTCCAACTCACTTATAAGAGAACATCGGGTAGACATTTAATGAAGTTAAGAATAAGTTGTAAGGAATAATTCTTGGCCCGGCCCCAGGGGATAGAGAATCAGAAAGATAAAAGACTACCGCTAATTTTGGGTGAATGGGCCATTTTAATGGCTCATCTTTAGCCTTCACCAGAAAGTCAATCCTTAGGTTAAAACCTTCTGAGCTTGGCCACAGAGAAAGGAGAAAAGTCTAGATATCAAAAGGAAAAGTACCTCTGGTTAGACTTACAGACTAGACCACTTTCCAACAGCTAAGGCTGACTGACAAATTATTTTGTGAGTTTATCATTGTATACAGGGTGTGGCGAAAGTAGATTTACAGTTGTGAGTACGTGAAACAGAGTAGTATTCTTTATGAATTACTGTACTAGTCGCCATACGAACTGTAAACCTACTTTTGCCCAACCCCGCCTGTGTGACGAGGTCCCCGGGCCTCGCTCGGGCGCCGGGGGCAGCACCTAGATGGCTAAGAGCGGTAGTTGGACGGACGCATGCGCGGGGACCTCAGGTCTGGTCGCGCCGGCCCGGTGGGCGCCTGTGCGCTGGTGGAGGTCCGAACGCTCTCTGAAGAGAAGGCGCCCTGAAGACACCCTTCCCTCCTCGGAGGAACAGCTCGGTCGCTTCCTTCCCACCCCCATCCCGTCCCTGGGTGGTACCTGAGGCGTCAGTGTCCGCGCGGCCAGAGCCCTAGTCAGGCCACTTCGGAGAACAAGCATGGTGCACGGCTTGGAGCGCTGAAAAAGGCAGCAAGCCGGTATTCTCTACTGGAGTCTTCTCACAGATTCCCGACTTAGAGCCGCGACCAGCAGGACGACTTGCAGGACGCAGGCTCGGGGCGGGGCTCGGCTGGGTTAGGTCCGCCTCTCGACCCGGGAGGCCCGGCCGGACCGCCCAGTCCGCTCGGCGTCGTCGCGGGCCCAGCTCCGCAGTCCCAGGCGCTTTTCGTGTCAGCGCGCACTCTGGGGACGCCCCATTGTTTCCTCAAACATTTTAACCCCAAACGTGAGAGGTGACGTTGGAATTAGCGGAATGCCGGAGTCGTTCCTGTACCACCCTTCTGGCCCCGTCACGTCACCTCCTAGGCGCAGTTGCGTGCAGTTCGTAAATGTTCATGGGGTTCATGAATTTGAGTTGTCTGTGCACTGACAAGGAAGTATGGGTGCGTGCGTGTGTAATGCTTTGCAAGTAAAATCGTGGGAGGTATTACCTGGTTCCGTTTTATTCGGTGTGATGGATATAAAGTCGACTGGGGAGCCTTCATTTTTTTCATGAAGTGCACCCTTCTATCGCCACCTCCACCATGACCTTCTAAGGTGCCTAATAATGATTTCGATTGCATTTCTCAGGAGGTCAGAGGAATGGGGAGGCACCGAACTAGATAGGAAAAAGTCAAATTTAAACATACATAGCTTGAAATAGAATGATTTTTTAGCCTTGAAAGCAAAACGGGAGACCTATAATGTTGCCCCCCTATCCCTGATCGTTGGTCCCCAGAGTAACTACTTTAAACATTTTAGCCATTTCTGCTAGGACTTGTTTCTCCCCACCCCCCTAAATTATAGGCATTTTCTGGTATTTCTTGATAGTTTCAGTTATAGATATATGTATTGCTTGGAAAACGAGGATTTAGGTCTCTTACCTAACACTCTCTCCAAATACACTTCCCGCATCTGATAATGCTTACATCAAGAATACTTAATCATTACATTAATTTCTATTATATTAACACATTTTTCTTACTAATTACATTATTACACACAATACATAATTAAACACAAAATTGCCCATAATAGTTACCTTGTGTAACTGCTTCCATTGAAGCAATACTGCTTACAATATTAAGACTGGATTTATTACGTGGGTATCACTTGTGGCTTGCAGTGGTTGTGCCTTGTGCATGCTTTTGAATCATCTAGTCAGAGGAAGGGAGGCTTTCTAAAATTATGAGTTAGCCAAAAAAGTTTGTTTTTTTCTGTAAGATGGCTATAGCACTTAGTTGTCTTTAACTTCATCTGTGACAATTATGTTGGATTGTATTGTGACAGTGGTCATACTGGCGTGCATTAAAACATCAAGATTGGTGAATTTTTGTGTAGCCATTTTAATATTGAAGATGGAAGAAAATAAGCAACATTTTTGGCATATTATGCTTTATTATTTCAAAAAAGGTAAAAATACAAATGACATGCAAAAAAAAAACAAAAAAAAGGTTCTGTGCAGTGTATGGAGAAGGTGCTGTGACTGAACATACCAAAAGTGGTTTGTGAAGTTTCCTACTGGATGATACTCCATAGTTGGGTAGACCAGCTGAAGTCGATAGTGATCAAATCAAGACAGTAATTGAGAACAATCAATGTTATCCCACACGAGAAATAGCCGACATACTCAAAATATCCAAGTCAATAAAGTTATTGGTGAAAATGAAAAATGTGTCTTTTATTTTACAGAAAAACTAAATGGTCTTTGGGGCAACCCAATTGTAATTCTCAGAGGGGGTAATTCAGTTTTTCTAGTTGATGGGCATCCATTTCTACCAAGCAAGACAAAACAGCAACATCTGTGCTCAGACGGGATCTTTATGTTTACATTTATTTTCTTAGGCCAAAATGGAATTAATTCATTCTCCCATTCAATCCATATTTATTAAATTCCTTCTATGCTTGCAGCACTTTTCCAGAAACTGGTATGGAGTTGAACAAAAGACGAAGTCCCTGTCCTTTTGGAACTTACAGGTTGGGGGAAACAGATAAACAAGTGAAGAGAAAATATATCAGAGAGCAATAATAAATACTATGGAGAAAAACAAAGTAGAATATGGAAAATAGAAAGTGCCAGGGGAAATGAGTGAAGGCTGCTAGCCATTTTCCCCTATCAATTCTTCCCCTCTTTTAAAAAAATTAGTAATGAAACCTATGCAGGTTGATGCAGCTATGTGAGTAAGTCCTGGCTAGAGGGTTGTGTGAGTGAATTTATGACCTACTGTAAATGATCTTAAAGTAGGCTTGAAGATTTATTCCCTTTTTTGTCCCTTTTTTATTTCTGCTTGTTGGAATGTGGATGTAATGGCTTGAATTTTTGAATTATGAAGTAGAAGCCACACGCTGATGATAGCAAAACAAGAGAGAAGAAGCCTAGGTTCTGAGACCATGGAACACCATACTAGGAGCCCTGGACCCTGCCCATCTCTGGACTTCTTTTGCATGAGAAATCATCTTCTATTTTAAGCCACTGCTGTGTAGCTTAGACCTATTATTTTAGTCAACAGGAGGGTTATTTCTTTTTCTCTTTTTTTTTGCTTTGTTTTCCTTATACCTATCATTTATTAATCACATTTTTTTTTTTTTTTTTTGCCAAAAGAATACATTTTCTATCAATGTGATTAAATCCACTTATCAGCTATCAGGTTCATCTAGAGTTATCTTTGGAGAGTCCTTTGTTCTCTGGCTCCCGTGTGGACTAGTTCTCTAAGATGGCATGGTAGTAATTCTGCGATCTCCTTCCACTGACCTGGGGAATCCCATTTGCCTTGTGTTGGACCTTCCTTCTATTTCTAAGATTTTGCATTTTTTTTTTTTATTCCTAACTTTAGGAAAGGGTACATGAAAATTATACTTTTGAGACTTGCATCACTAGAAATATTTTATTCTGCCAATTCTCTTAATTCATATTTTGGGTGGGTATTGAATTCTACATTTGAAATAATTTTTCTTCATATATTTAAAGGCAGTTCTCCATTTTTTATATCTTCCTGTAAGATATTTGTGCGATTCTGAATCTTATTCTTTGTTTGTGACTTATGATATTTCTCTCTCTCTCTCTCTCTCTCTCTCTCTCTCTTTGGAGCCCTTTATGTTTTTTCATTGTCCTTGTGTTCTGAAATTTCATAATAATGTTAGTTGATGTATTTTTTTTTTCATCCATTGCTCTTCACTCATTGTACCTTCTTAATTTAGACACTTTTCAATTCTGAAAATTTTGTGTTTCTTGGATTTTCTTTCTTGTCAATCTCTGGAACGTCTATTGCTCAAACATTGTGCCTCCAGCAGATCTACTTTTCTTTCCTTTTTTTTTACACCGCTACTTTTTTTTGGTCTAGTTTTTTTTGGGTAAAATACAATTTTATCTTCAAACTCACCTACTCAATTTTAAACTTCTACTTTCACAATATTTATTTCCAATAGCTCCTTTTTTAGTCCCCTCCCTTAATATTTCTTTATTTCTCACTCTCTTTTTAGCAATAATATCCTCTTCATGTTTCATGGGTTCAATATTCTTATCTCTTGAGAATGTAATTATAGTTTATTTTTTAATTAATGTATAAAGTCTTCTTCCTGCATTATTTGTTTATGTTTTATTATGATTTCTAACATTTAATTTGTTTTCTGCCTAGATATTAATGTTTTTCCTAAAATATTTGTTGTTCTGATCCTTGGCTCTCAGCTTATGTTTTGAAGTGAGACAAAATATTGAAAACTCTTTTAGTATGGGTGGAGCCTGTCAAATAGGGGTCTTCAGTGTGGAATTGTCTGACTGGGCTATTTCATTGATGGGAAATGTCACTGTCTATTACCACCTGTAAATCACTTCTCATAGTCTAGTCAGTTACCCCTGTCTGGAAACTTGCAGGGTCCCATCTGTGAATTATAAGCCTTATTGCCACTTTCCTGTAACTGAGGAGGGAGGGGGCTGGATGTCTTGGTTTTTGTAGGTGGTCATTCACTTAATTTATGTGTTCATGACTGGGTCTAAGCCCTTCAGCTGCATCTGGTATTCGTGAACATGGTTCAGCTCTTTAAGAATATATTAAATAGGATAGGCGCAACTGTTGTAACAAATAGATACCAAAATATATAATGTCTCAAACACAATCGGATTTTATTTCTTACTCCTGAAGAATCTAAAACGTGTTTTCCTTATTGGCAGGCAGCTCTTTTATACGTGGTGAATTAAAGAAACCCTGGGTTTCTCCTGCCCTCTGGCCTTCGTGGGTCCCCTTCATCACTGGCATCCAGTCACCAGGACGGCAGAGAGAATTTTCAAGATGAAAATATTTAACAGACAGCGAAGATTAGAATTCATGACTGCAACTTAGAGTGGGAGAATGTTGGTAAGTGTGCTAGGTGTCTAATACAATCTCATGTTCACTTCTTCACATGTTTTAATCATTAAACTCTGTGTGAGTTAAGGTTTATTTCCAAGTGAGAAAGGTGACATTCTGAGACATAATTGTCTCAGGTTCACTATTGCTAAGTGGCACATCCAGGATTTAAAACCAGACTGTAAAACCTGTTTCATGTACCATTTGTTTTTAAAAGGTGTGTAATCTTTTAGGTAAGTTTAGTTTCTTGGTGGAAAATTGCCTTTAAACAGCATATTAAAAAAAATGTTTTTCTGTTACAAAAAAATCCCTAAACTGCCTGATACATAGAGTAAGCATTTTGAAAATTATTGTGTATATCCTAAATTCCTGACAACCAATCTAAAGGACAGGTAGATAAATCTGGATTATTAAAATAGGATACTGTGGTGACATAGAGCAACAGGATAGTTATTTTAGATTGGGTGGACTGAGGTTGCCCATCTAAGAAGGTAACAGGAAACATGCATCAGGTAAAATAGTGTACATAATGTATCTGTACACTTTTAAGAAGAGTAATAAAGTAAATGCCTGTGTCTCTGCCACCAAGCTTAAGAAAAGTACTGTCAGTAACTTAGAAACCCAATACATATTCCTTTCTGGCCACATTCTCCTCCCTGCAATACCCTCCCCAATCTCCCTCAAATAACCATGATTCCACGTTTTATGTTAATCATTTCATTCATTTTT